AGGGGATGTGACACAGGAACTGAAAGAAGGCCCAGTAGTAGGAGAGGGCTGGTAAGCTGATGTTGGGAAACTAGGTCATAGGAGATTTTGTGTTACTGTTAGAAGTTTGGACTTTAAGTACAGTGAAAAGTGGTTAAAGGGATTTAAGCAGAAGAGTGACTTGCTCTGATTTATTAGCTTTAAAAGTTCTCTCAGCCTGTGGGTTATGGAGGGAGTCAAGAGTGCTAGGAGGCCAGTGTGGGAGGAATTCCTGGGTGGTTACCACAGCTGTCGGATTCTTACCCCAGAGCCTGTGGGCACTGTGGTCTAGAGCAGGAACATTTTCTGTGACTTGATTTTCTTGATTTTTCTTTCAGTCTCTCTGGGGATGAAGAGGATGAACTATTTAAAGGGGCAACTCTGAAAGTTCCAAAGTCCAAAGCACAGTCTGAAGAGGAGGATGAAGATGAGGTGGTAAGGAGATCCCACACACTGCCAAGTCCTCACACCACTACCCGGGGGCTCTTCCCCACTGGCTCTGAGAAGAGAAATGGAGTCTGTTGGTGGCCCACTCCCTGGGCTCTGTGTGCAGGGCCCTGTGGGAGCAGGCGGTGGGCGGGGCGGGGGCAGCTCTGTAAGCATAATGGGGATGGTCAGGTACCACTTTACTCTTGAACAAGGACCACAGTCTCTCTCCAGGCAGGAATGGTTTTCACTGTGAGGAAAGTGGGGCTGATTAGTCCTATATTAGAATGCTAATGCCTCAGGTTTTCTGAAATCCGCTAGGATATTATTTATATTTAAGAATTGGAGAGGACTTTGAAGATTGTCATGTCTGGCATCCTTGTTCATAGACAAAGAGACTGAGGCTCAGACAGATGATTTACTTACCTAAAGCCACAGAATGACTTAATGGCAGAGCTAGGACTAAACCCTCAAGCTCCTCCTATGACCACCAGTTTCTGAGCATTCTCTGCTTCCTCAGCCCGCTTCCCAGCCTGCTGCCTTGTTGTGTCCTCACAAGATTCCTGGGCAGAAAATGGGTTAAGTACTGAGGCATAGCCTTGAGCTACAAAGCTCCCGAGTAGAGGCCAGGAGGGCGAGTGGCTGATGGAGCCTGGTCAGAGCCCCGGTTCCTGCGTCTGCTGTCCCACTGTGCTGCTGAGGCAACCGTGCCTGTCCCTGGGACATTTTGACTGCTGCCGTGGGAATTTACTAGAGTGAAACGTGGGGTGGAGCTTTAGCCTCAGCCTATCCCAGGAACAGAACATGAGGTGAATGGGGGCAAATTCTCTCCCCTCGTGTATCAGCCAGGGTGCGTTTTCCCTTTTGCCAGAACCTTGGGAAAATGGCAGTGATAGAGCTGGGGCCCAGTTCTCGTGTACCACAGCCCTTTCCTCCTGCCTGTGTTCCTTTGGGAAATGTGCCCTAGCTCCTCCCATTAACCCTTCTTTCCAAGAATTAAACTTTCATTTGAGAATTCTGAATACAAATTCTGTACTTTTAAAAAAAAGGAACCAAAATACCAATTGAATATTCCAAGTGACTGCCCTGAATATAGTTGGAATATTTTATTATCCCAACTATATTACTAGTATATTATAAGCAGTATATTATTGGTATTGATATTAATACTTCTATTAGTAGCAATTTCTATTTCCTGGGTATTCTGAAAACTACTTCTCAGACATTCTCATTTAATCTTCTGCTAATCCAGTGAGGTCTGCACTTTTATCCCATTTTATAGAAAAGAGGACCGAGGCTCGGGAAGATTAAGTGACATGTCCCAGGCTATAGAGCTGGCCCAGGGTGAAAGAACTGGTAAACATAGAGCCAGAATTTTAGCCGGAACAAAACCGAAGCGGTGAGCCCCATGTTAAAACCCTGTACTGTCAGGGTTTGGAGATCACTTGATTGATGCCCAGAGAGAGGGACAAGGTCCATTAGTCGGTGGTGGGGATGGACCTCTGACCCTTTGGCTGGCCCTGTGAAGACAGATTCTGGGTCAGAGTAGCTCACTGGAGCAGAAAGTACCTTGGTAGAGAATACTCAGTTTGTGACTGTCTCCAGTATCAATCCCTGCTACCCCCATAGGACCTGTTTCTTGCCAATGCAGAAGGAAAAGGCCGGGAGCTCAAGTCATGAAAAGTGGGGGGGCGTTTCCTCTGTGGCCTGTGAATTCCCCTTACCCTCTTCCTGGTCAGAGAGAGTGAAAGAGACCAGGGGAGTGGGAGTGGGAGGCTGTGGCCCTGTGTTCTAGGCTTGCTTCATCACTTGGGATTCCCCACCTAGTAATTCCCCCATACCTCTAAATTCAACTCTCTCAAAGGATGGGGCCATGTTCAGAGCCAGACAGGCCACCTTAGGCCACAGCATCATTTTTTCAAGTGTGATTGCAATCTTGCCAATCTCCCTTCATCCTCCTGCAGCCTCTCCTCCCTTAAGGCCGCTCTGCTCTCTGTTTCTTCTCCTCCTTCCATCTCTCCCCTTCAACCCTTCTTTCTCCACACGAAATATGTTGTTACTGCATGAGCAGAAACCTGTCAAATCAATACATGTGTTTCACAAATAAATGACAAAATTAGCCAAACAAAGTTGGTCTTCTCGTTTCTGTTGAAAGATTTTTCTCCCTTCTCTGCCTGCTTGTCTCAGCTTTATCTGGAAGCCTGGGTTTGCTGGCCTCAGGGTTGGTCCTAGTAAAAATCTAACCAACTCCCTTCTTTCCAACCTTTATTCCAACGGATGTTGACTCACTTCACCTCACACAGGCAGGAAGTCCCACTGGTGCAGGAACAAGTGAGGACTGACTCCTTTTTCCTGTTTTGTCAGAGCATGAAGGGACGCCCGCCCCCAACACCCCTTTTTGGAGATGATGATGATGACGATGACATTGACTGGCTGGGATGAAGACCCAGGAAACTGATACAAAGGTTTCTCTACTGAACCTTCCCTAAGCATGATTTTGCACAGCCAGCCCTGGGTCTCGGTGAGCCACAGGGTGAGGTGAAGGTGAGCATTCTGAGGACAGTAACTCAGATCATCTGAGTTAGCTAACTTCTGAGCCCCCACCTGGCTGGGTGAAGAGGAGTGTGAGCCAGTCTTCAGAGTGCTGGGGTTGTCAACAGCCGACCTGGTCCTGCCTCAGAGTCCCATCTGAAGGGAAGGGCTGGTAGGCTCCCCTCCAGTCAGTTACCTACAAGAGTCCTGTCCTCCCAAGCCTTTTATTCTCTTCACTAACTCAGACTGCTGTGGGGAGGCCTCCTCCATCTGCCTCCCAACACTCAACTGTGCCCCAGCAATAGGACCTGGCGCCTGGGGTGCAGTCTCCCTGGTAGAACCAAGGGTGGGTTACACCTTCTAAACCCCAGTTAACAGCCTTGCCTGCACTCCTGGCACATTACCTTTCTCTGCCTTAAATCTTTGAAATTAACCAAACAAAAATAAATATATATAATCAAACTTGACTCAAGCTCTTGGGGAGAAATTGAATTTGGTTCTAAGGGCTGTCTGTGCTCCTCTCTGGGACTCTGAGGGTAGAAGTTGTAACAGATCTGGGTCAGTTAATGTGCATAAAACCATGGTGACATACTCCCTTTGGTACCTAACCCTGGGACGTGAGGCTTTCAGAACAAAGTCACCCTCCGCTGTCCCTGCTCATCCCAGCTGCATTAAGGCTTAGGGCATGGTGGCTATCTGAGCACCAGTCCTGTCATCCACTCGCGCCTGCGTGTCTGGTCCACCTAGGAAGTCATGCAGAGAAGGTGGCAGGTCCTGCATTCCATCCCTCAAGGCCCCGGAGAGACTTCACTTTGAGAGCAGCTTCCATTCCCTCTGAACTCAGGGCCCAGACCAATGAAGGAAACAGGAGCAAGAAAGTATTTTTACTTCTTCAAAGATCTTTCCAAGACCATGCAACCAGTCTTCAAAAAGTAGAATAATTTTAATAAAAATGCCTGATTTTAAATGTTGATAAGACAGGAATCTGAATTCCACTTTACCTGGCCTGAGGTCATCCTCTGTGATGACAGCTTTGAACCTGCTCTCACACGCGGGGCTGGGCGGCAGTGAGATCTGCCGTTGACCAGACCTGGTTAACAACAGACACCGCTGTTGAGCACTTTATACAGACTGTCCCATCTCTAGCAACCCTTGCAGAAGACGCTGTTATCCCCACTTAGAGAGGCAGCCAGGCCGTCTGGCTCTGCCCCTTATTGTAAAGATACTGTATCAAACTGGCAGGTTGCAAACTGAGGAGGCAGCCCAGCTGGTCAGGACATATGAATGGATGTGTGAAGCTCCATCAGCAAGACTACACTGGACTTTGGAAATCTTACACCTGCTGTGACATCAGCAGCTTTCCAATTCCCTGCCAGTGTGGGGAGTGTACTGGAGGCATCACATACTGTACTATGTTAGAGTTGCTTCTGATTGTAAATTAAATCTTGGTTTTGATATATTTTTTGCTTCTGCCCTCAGGGAAAGAAGGTGGTAATAACTGTGCCAACACAGGTATTTATAGTCCATGTTACAGTTACTATTTTTCTCATGGCACCCGATCTCTATTTGTTACATGAACAAAAGCATGACTGTTGCCCTGGCTAGGTGGCTCAGTTGGTTGGAGCATCATCCCGTACACCAAAAGGTTTTGAGTTTGGTTCCTGGTCAGGGCACATACCTAGGTTGCAGGTTCAATCCCCGGTGGAGGCACATCCTGGGGGCAACTGATCGAAATCTCTCTCTCCCTTCCTCTCTCTCTAAAATCAATAAACATATCCTCAGGTGAGGATTGAATAAAAGGAAAAAAGAAGAATGACTGTTGACCAGGCTGGTATTGTGGAGTGCCTGCCTGTGGGCCCAGTGTTTCAGGGCTGGGCTTCCCTGAGCACAGAGTTGTCTTCATAGCAGATGGACACTCAGTCCTTAGACAGCCCTACTACCTGCTCCGTTTGCTCACTCCGCTCCTGCAGTTGTTGTAAGGGTTACGGGTGCTGTTTGAATAAGGAGAAACAAGATGAGTCACACACTAATTAAAAATATATATTTATTAAAATGCATTTCTTTTTTAATTCCCAAAGCTTAAGACCATCTTGCATCTAGCCCAGAGGCACCTGAGTGTAGCCGTTACAGTCACAGCAGTGCTTTTCTCTCCCTGGGTCTTGTTTCCTTCTCTGTAAAGTGATGAGTTTCCAATATCTGGAGATTCCCGTCTCACTCTACAAGTGTGATGCTTTGGTTTGACTGCTTATTGCATCTTCAGTCAATCCTCCCCCTCCCCCATGACTTACTCAGTATTTTAAGTGAATGAATCGTGTTTGTTATGGGTGAGCAGTACATAATAAATAAATAAAAATTAAGTATTGTTCAGTGCAGTTATCTGTTCTGCATAAAAGAAGGATCGGATAAAAGGGGGCATTAAGGCCATGAAGAGCCCCCAGGCACCTAAAGCCATTGGACTGTCTTCCTCCTGCCAGCAGTGCAGACTGGTGGGAGGAGCTCACTCTGTCCACAGGAGCCTTGATCACAGTCCTGCTTTTATCCACTTTTACCTACTGCCACTCTCCCGCCAAGAAAGGGAAACAGGTCCCAGCAGATGCTGCCATCCATCATGAATAAAATGAAACCATTTCATTAAAAATTTTGTTTTGTATTAATGTGCAAAATTGCTAGCCAAGAGTTCAGTGGGAAAAAGTGAAAAGTCAATCTATCAGCATGACCCATAGAAGAGACAATCTTCACAGGTTCCAAAGGCAGAAGGGTGAGAAAAGGAGCCAGCTTGGTCTCTGTCCCCCAAAGACAGAGGGGGTCAGGAAGTCCAATGGAAGATGCTCCTCTGGGTAAGGCACAAATCAGGAGAGCAAAGGGTACCTGGGTTCCACGTCCTTCACTCAGAACCCATCTTCCTGTCTTGAAGATCTTTGGAAATTCTTAAGTTTTGAATCACAGATAAGCCCCTGGGTTCTGTTCTCTCCATTCTCCTGCTGGTCACAGCAGCCTTCTAAGGCACAAGACCAGGCCTGGGCTGTCTGGGGAGAGGTGGCTGCAATGGCATCTGAACTCCAGGGAGCGAGTGCTGGCTTCAGCTGAAAGTTTCTAGGAGCTGCGAGTGAGGCGAGGAACATCCATCAAAGCAAAAGGAGGCTTAGGCCTGGAAGTACAATGTCTGGAAGAGGGGAGCCTCAGCTTTCTCCAGCCCTCAGTGCCTGCACAGCCCTTGCCAGCTAATCTATGCTGAGCAACGGGTAGGCTAGGTAGTAGCCCACAGCCGAGCCCAGGACCACGCCAAGGAAAATCCAGGTGTTGTAGGACATTACCGCCAGCATTATGAAGTAGCCAATGACCACCTGAACGATGTGGATTAGAGACTGGCCAAAGTGACACAAGAACCACCTAGATAAAAAGGAGAGGCAAGTTAATGTCGGTAACGAGCTGACAGCCAGGGGTTGGTATCAGGAAGTAGGGAGAGATTACAGAACCAGCTTATTTGTAATTTGTATGCGGAACCCAGGAGAGGTTTCTTTTTAAAGAGACATATCAGAAACCACTGATAGAGAGGGACTTGTCCAAGGAGCCTGGGACAATCACTTCTCTACTTAGTTCTGAGCTTTCTGGAATCCTAGGCAAAAAGGGAAAATGAGATATGTAATCTATCATGTCTGATAGAGATAATATAAGGTCATTTGCATCAATGTGGCTTTTTCCCCTCTGAATCTGTGGTGAGGAGCAGTATTACAATGGTAAGAGCAGTATTACAATGGTAAGAATTGGGATCCCAAATGGTTGCCCTAGCAGGGTGGGAAGGGACGAAAGGACAGGACAGAGAGGCTGCTTGCTCCCCCACCAATGTGGATACATAGCTGACAGCAGTTCTTAACCATTTGTGGGGACAGCTGCAGACCCCATCCTGGGTTTGTAAGCCTTAGTGACCTGAGGGAGCCTAATGAGATTTAGGGGAGGGCTGGGTGGACACCCCTGTTGCTAGACTGAGGCCTGTACCAGAGTTCCGAGCCTCCCAAGTGGCCGTTCATACAGCGGGTTCTGGCCTGGGCAGCTGGAGATCTGGACTCTAGTTCACTTCACTACTTACTAACTAAGCACTTTGACAAGTCCTGGTCCTTCCTGAGGCCTCCATTTCCTTTCTGTGCCTTGGGGTTAATGTCCTCTGGGCCCGCCCCACCACTCCAGGTGAAGGTGGGTATTCTGCCCATTTCCCACACCCCGTGCCTGTTACCTGAGGCAGGGTCTGCTGACTGGGGGTGACTCTGAGCTTGAAGAAGAACCCTGGTCTGTCTCCTCGCGCTGCTGGCTGGTGGAGGTGGGCATGCTCACCAGGCTCTGGTGGAGTAGCTTGGCTTTGCCAAACTTGATGCTTTCATACAGCACAGCCAGGAGCAGGATCACCAACACAGAAAGGGCCATGCCTGTCAAAGGATGCAGAGTTACAGAGACCTGGCCAGGCAAGCACTGCTCCCCTCCCCGCAGCTTCCCAGGGACCTGTCAGGTGGCAGAAAGCACCTCCACCCATTCCCTCTGAATCCATTCCATCTCCCTGTCTTGCAGCTTCTTCCCCACCCCCTTTGGGCTCAGAGCTTCTGCAGTGTCTTTCCCCTCCCAGTCCTTTCTTGGTAGGGTTGGCCCACTGGACTGTGGCTCTGAGATCAGGAAGAGTATCTGCCTGAAAAAGCCAGGGCGGAGAGTGAAGAAGCCATACACCACCGCCCCCAGCTGCTCCCCCAGCAGGCGGCACAAATCTATCAGGACTTCTCGTTAAGGGAAGAGCAGTACAGCAAGGTCCTGTTTAAGTGCAGTACACGGAGAAGTCTGGAGGAAGGAAAGATTTACAACAAAGGAGCATAATGATCTCAGCAAATTCAGATATAGGGGGTTTTTAGTCTCAAGTAATTTCCCAAAGTTTCTACTGTGTGTATTACTTTCATAATAATGGGAAACCCCAATAAATTATTTTACCAAAACGTTAAGTGCTTTTTAGAGCTGCTGTGTAAAATTAATTGCTAATTGCTACTTCTATTGTACAACAGGACTTTATTGGGCTCCCAGGAGGAAATCATATCCGAAAGAGGCAGGTTTTTAAAATATAAAATTACAAATAATTACACACATGGTAATAAAGTCAAACAGTGCGAAAGGGTTTGCAGTGAAAAGTAAGTCTTCTTCCCAGCCCAGGCTCCCAAACTCCAATTCTTCTCCCCAGAGCAGCCTCTGTTAACAATACCCTGAATAGCCTTCTAGGGATACAAAATCTAGGGATACAAAATATAGGGTGGAGCAAAAGTAGGTTTCCAGTTGTTCATATGGAAAATCCTATATAATAAAGAGCTAATATGCTAATTAGACTGAACAGCTGAACGACCTTCTGGATGAAGCCGGGGCTTCGAGGGCTGGCTGAGGCTGTGAGGGGCTGTGAGGGCTGAGCCCTTTGCACAAATTTCATGCATTGGGCCTTTAGTGATACAATAACTAATAAATAATAAAAAAGAACAAATTCTGTGTTTTGTGTGCTCACAACTTTAAATCTACCTTCAGTTCCTTCCCTATAATAGAGGGGAAAATTGCATCCCTGGCCTCTCTCTGGGCCAGTGGTTCTCAACCTTCTGGCCCTTTAAATACGGTTCCTCATGTTGTGACCCAACTATAAAATTATTTTCATTGCTACTTCCTAACTGTAATGTTGCTACTGTTATGAATCGTAATGTAAATATCTGATATGCAGGATGGTCTTAGGCGACCCCTGTGAAAGGGTCCTTCGACCGCCAAAGGGGTCGCGACCCACAGGTTGAGAACCACTGCTCTGGGCCTTTGTGAGGATCAGTGAGAAAATGGAGCCCTTTGCAATCTGAAAGGCAATGGTTGCAAACAGAATCATAAATGCAAAGTTCCCACTCGATGTTTATGCAAGAGGAGTCAGACTTATACCAATAAAGAGAACCCAGGTTCTCCCTTGCCTGAAGCTGGAAGGCTTCCCAATGCTTACCTGCAGGGCTGTGGACATTCCAGAAATCAAACAGTAGCACCACCTTATCTGAGAAGAAGAAATGCATCTGAAAGAGAAGGCAGTCTGCATCACAGGGGGCCTAGGGCAATGGGAATTGTGGTCCCTAGTACTCTCCAGCATTCTCTTCTAAAGACCCAGAAAAATGGTGTCACGGCACTTAAGTGCTGGAAGGGCCCGTGGTCATCAGGGCCAACTGTGGCCACACAGGGCAGGGACTTGCTCAAGGTCCTGCAGTGGGTCAGTGGCATAGTCATAACTGAGCTGGCCCTGCTCCAGGGAGAAGTGAGGTGTGGGGTGCCCATCCCCACTCACCAGCCAGGCCACAGTGCTCTCGGATCAGGCTGAGATGTCCCTGCAGTGCCCTCCAAACCCAATGGGAAGCGCCAATCTGAGGAACAACTGCTGCTTCTTACTCCCAGGACCACGCCATTCTGCTCCAGTGGTGTGTATCGTGGAGGGGCCAACGGGCAGCTGTCTTCAATCTGTACTCCACATCTCTCCACTAGTTCCCTAAACATTTGCTGAGCCCAATTCTATGTTCAGCGTTATGGACAAAGGTCAGTGGGTCTGCCCTCCATGAGCTCACAGTCTTACGGAAACAATGAAGGTAGAAGCAATGAACATGCAGTAGTGCCTGTCTAAATGCTCTCCTCAAAGAGCACCTGGGCCTCCCTCTGTTCCAGGTGGCATCAGGGCTTTTCATACATTATCTCATTTCACAGCAGTGCTCTGTGTGACAGGGACAATTAGACCCATTAACTTGGCCGAGCTGGGATTCCAGCCCGATCTAGTTGGATGCCAAGCTGGTGCATTCCAGTAACCATGCTGCCTGTGCTATGGGCTGGGAACTGGACGGTGATTCCAAGTGGCCACACCAGGCTTAATGGCTGTGTTTGGCAAGATGAAAGCCAGATGGATCAATTAGGTTCATCCTCTCAGAGAAGGGAAGTTCCCCTCTAGTCACCAGGTAAATATCTGATATGCAGGATGGTCTTAGGCGACCCCTGTGAAAGGGTCCTTCGACCGCCAAAGGGGTCGCGACCCACAGGTTGAGAACCGCTGCTCTGGGCCTTTGTGAGGATCAGTGAGAAAATGGAGCCCTTTGCAATCTGAAAGGCAATGGTTGCAAACAGAATCATAAATGCAAAGTTCCCACTCGATGTTTATGCAAGAGGAGTCAGACTTATACCAATAAAGAGAACCCAGGTTCTCCCTTGCCTGAAGCTGGAAGGCTTCCCAATGCTTACCTGCAGGGCTGTGGACATTCCAGAAATCAAACAGTAGCACCACCTTATCTGAGAAGAAGAAATGCATCTGAAAGAGAAGGCAGTCTGCATCACAGGGGGCCTAGGGCAATGGGAATTGTGGTCCCTAGTACTCTCCAGCATTCTCTTCTAAAGACCCAGAAAAATGGTGTCACGGCACTTAAGTGCTGGAAGGGCCCGTGGTCATCCGGGCCAACTGTGGCCACACAGGGCAGGGACTTGCCCAAGGTCCTGCAGTGGGTCAGCAGCACAGCCATAACTGAGCTGGCCCTGCTCCAGGTAGAAGTGAGGTGTGGGGTGCCCATCCCCACTGGGCCAGCCAGGCCACCGTGCTCTCGGATCAGGCTGAGATGTGCCTTCAGTGCCCTCCAAACCCAATGGGAAGCGCCAGTCTGAGGAACAACTGCTGCTTCTTACTCCCAGGGCCTAAACATTTGCTGAGCCCAATTCTATGGTCAGCGTTATGGACAAAGATCAGTGGGTCTGCCCTCCATGAGCTCACAGTCTTATGGAAACAATGAAGGTAGACGCAATGAACATGCAGTAGTGCCTGTCTGAATGCTCTCCTCAAAGAGCACCTGGGCCTCCCTCTGTTCCAGGTGGCATCAGGGCTCTTCATACATTATCTCATTTCACAGCAGTGCTCTGTGTGACAGGGACAATTAGACCCATTAACTTGGCCGAGCTGGGATTCCAGCCCGATCTAGTTGGATGCCAAGCTGGTGCATTCCAGTAACCATGCTGCCTGTGCTATGGGCTGGGAACTGGACGGTGATTCCAAGTGGCCACACCAGGCTTAATGGCTGTGTTTGGCAAGATGAAAGCCAGATGGATCAATTAGGTTCATCCTCTCAGAGAAGGGAAGTTCCCCTCTAGTCACCAGGCAGGACCACAGCCAGAAGCAGTAGCTCTGCAAACACATTCAGTGTTCATCCCGCTAAGGAGATCCTGGCTGAGTTGGGCCTTTCCCTTCTAAGACAATGGCCAAATATTAGAACCTTCAAATGTCAGAGCTAGAAGTATCCACAGAGAGTTTTTTTTAAATTGAGATATAATTGACATATGTTATATATTATTTTCAGGTATACATAATGATTCAATGTATGTATGAATTGCAAAATAATCACCACAATATAAGAGTTAACATTCATCACCATACATAGTTATAATTATTTTCTTCTTGTGATGAGAACTTTTAAATCTATTTTATTTATTTTCTCAGAGAGTTTTTTTTAGTCCCATGGTTTTCAATGTCCACCCCCCCCCCAATTGGCAAATAAAAGGGAACATTGGCAAATAAAATCTTCCTTATGGTGTGGCTCAGTGGTTGAGTATCGATCCATGAACCAAGAGGTCACAAGTTCCATTCCCGGTCAAAGCACATACCCAGGTTTCGGGCTCAATCCCCAGTAAGGGGCGTGCAGGAGACAGCTAATGAATATTTTTCTCATCCAAGTTTCTATCTATCCCTCTCTAAAAATCAATAAAAACATATTTAAAAAACATACTTTTAAAAAATCTTCCTCATAATTCCACTATATAAAACACAGGGTGTAGAGGAGAGAGGGGTCTGAGCTTTGCTGAAAAACACTGATCTGGTCCAACTCTAGCTCCCCGCTCCCACATCTCATTTCCAGATGGGGAAACTGAGTCCAGGAGGGGGAGGGACTTATTCAAGACCTCGTCAGAAGGAAACGGGAACCTGGGCAGGTTTTTTGAAATCAGGTTGAAGAACTGAAAAATAAAACTAGCTTTTTATCCCCCTAATTTGAAAGTGGTACTTGTTCAGTGTAAAAAGCTGAAACAGTACCCAAAAGAAAGTAAAAATCATTTGAGCCCCATGCAGAGATATCCCTTATTAAGATTTCAAAAAGCATATTTGTTGACATGGCAAAATGTTCACAAAAGATATGCAAACACGCACAGGTACAAATAATCCTGTGAAATTCCATTTATGCTGGAGTTGCATTCAATTTAGCAGACGCCCCAGGCACAGTCCCCGCTGAGGGGGTAGGGGAGGAGGTGGCCCTCCTTCTTCTCTGAGTTCACTTGATCGAGGAGTTGGCATGACTGGAATGCTCCCAGTGGCTAATCAGTGAACTTCCCTAACTGCGTTCCTTCTATCATCCTTGGGCCTGGGCCAGCTCTCTCAGGTGCCCCAGATGGCTAGACCTGAACACCCACAAAACAGTGAAATTAATTCAACCAACAAACATTTACTTTGGTAATGCGAGGGGTGCAGAGACTGGAGATACAGGGATGGGTGAGATAAGTCCTTGGTCCTCACGAAGCTATTGGTCTATTAGGGCAGAGGGACGTGAACAGGTCATTACAATGGTGTATGTCAGCAGTTCTCAATCTGTGGGTCGAGACCCCTTTGGGGTCGAACGACCCTTTCACAGGGGTCGCCTAAGACCATCGGAAAACACATATATAATTACATATTGTTTTTGTGATTAATCACTATGCTTTCATTATGTTCAATTTGTAACAATGAAAATACATCCTGCATATCAGATATTTACATTACGATTCATAACAGTAGCAAAATTACAGTTATGAAGTAGCAACGAAAATAATTTTATGGTTGGGGGTCACCACAACATGAGGAACTGTATTAAAGGGTCATGGCATTAGGAAGGTTGAGAACCACTGGTGTATGTAGTCAGCGAGAGGGAGGCACAGGGGAGGCCTTCTGGGGAGTGCTGGGGACAAAACCTCCTGGAGACACGGAACCCGCTAGGGAGGCAGGTGGCTAGGACACCTGCTGAAGCAGGAAGAGCAGGAGGCAGTCAGGGGAAGACAGACAGTCCAGTATGTTCCAACCTGGAAGAGCCCACCTAAGGGTCTGGTTCTGCCTCACCTGGGAGTGAGGAGCTCAGGAGGGACAAAGCCTCACCCACCTTCGCCTTTTCACTGCAGAAAAAGTTTCAAATCTGCATGACGTGGGCCCCACAGAACACTGTGGTCAGGCGTGCAAGGGGCAGGGCTCTAATCTTGTTTCGCTTTTAGGAGGAATCTCAGCCTCCTGCAGCTGGGCTTGACGTTTATCTGCTGTATTCAGCGCCCCACCCTGGGTAGGGAGAGGCTGTGGTGAAGAGAGCAATCCAGGGACTTGTTTTGGTCTGTGTTTTCTCGTCTGGAGTTAGCTACACTTTGAAAAAAGCTCCCTCATGTATAAACCAAGGAGTTTAAGGGGGACGTTAAGGTCTCTGTCCTGCCTGCGGCTGGGGCTGGCCGGGGAACTTTCCACAAGCCCTTCCCATCTATTTCTCCTTTTAGAGAACCGGCAGGCGGTGGGGGAGGGCGTTTGACTAAATGATCTGTGTCGCCTTCCTGGATCTTAAATTCTACGACCTTCTTCACGGAGGAAGAAAACGAGATGGTTTTTTCAAAGACCAAAGGGTCTCTCGCAAGCTGTCATTCTCTCCAGCCCAGGTGAACTCTACCAAAAACAAACAAACAAACAAAAACCCCACAAAAATCCCCTCCAGTTTGTCTGAAACGCTATTTCTGCAAGTGTCGGGAGGTTGGAAAGGATCTGGGTCTGGTTGTTGTCTCTCCCCCAACCCCCAACACACACACATGCGCGCACACACACACAAGAATCAGATCACGAACTTGCCAAGACAGGAACCTGCCCGAAAGTGTGCGCCCGGTCACAGGTTGTAATGCACCGGGCTCCCCTCCTCCTGCGAGCCTTCCCGGAGTCACCCCAAGGCACTGCGCCCTGGGCAGGGGATCCCCGGACTCGCCTGTCTTCGCCCACAGCGCCCCCACCCTCAGCTGCTCCACAGCTGGAGCTCAATAACCCCTCGTTCGGTCGGACCGACCCCCAGCAGGAGGGACAAATAAAACCCCAAAGCCACCTCCAGCCCTACCTCTCGCGTCTCCCCAACCGTGTTCTCGCTGTTGACAGTGCTTCCAACACACCCCCTTCACCAGCCCTTGGCCAGGGGCGGCGGGCACCTCGGGGTG